TATATAAGGTATCTGAAACAATATATCTCTGTGATATTTAGCTGGCTGCACAAATCAGAAAACTGCAATTTTTCAATAACGAGGTATAAAAGATTGCATGTTTTCATTAGCTATTACTGGAGTTTGAAATTAATGTTAGAATGAAAATAGTTATGGCGTGTTTTTCATACATTCTAATCTAATTTCTGTCATTTTACATGGAATTTAGAGGAGCCATAGAACTTCTGAAAATTGCACCAAAAATTTAGGTAAAGGACAGATTTCCACCCAAAATCAGTGGCGGAGACACATTTCATGGTAAAATACAGACAGCAAGGTGGTGAGAAAATGGTTTCATTGCCGAGACATCATGTCTTCTCCTTAGAGACTTTTCTACCCTGTCCCTTCAGCTATTCTAGGACCAACCCCACCTCTATACTTTCCGCATGTCTCTTATCCTGCCTTCCCCCTGCGGGAGCTGGCTCCAGTTCTGGGGCAGCCAGTGTTGGCCACTGCAAAGATGGACTTAAGTCCTCTTGTAGCAAGAAGTTCCTTGTTGATATAAATACTGGCTGCAGTGTGGGAACCTACATATAATTGAAGACGTGGGGTCAGTTAACAGAATCAAGATTCATTATCGACTATAGTTTTGTGCTAAGCCATATAAAGGCAAACACAGATGAATTTTATGAGGGGAAAGTGGTATCAGATCTCTAATTTGATAACGTGTGATTATTTTTTGTACTAAGAAAAATTGCAGCATGTAAGCCCTCTTATTTTCTATTTGTACAGCATCTACCAAATGGGGCCACAGGTTGGTTGGTCTCTAGGTGCTACTATAATGTAAATGTCAAAATATTTATAATGGTCCATAGTTGAAAGTGAAATTGTGATTTTGGGTGCTGTTATGTGCTGTGTACACATTTGGTTATAGAGCTGATACTAGCAGATTTGGACTAGCTTACAGAGCTTCCATCCTAAAATACCCCTTAAAAGTACTTTTATGCACTGTCAAGTATGGCTGTTACCCACTCA